AGTACCGGGGTGCACGGATGGTACCCTGGAGTGCCTGCCAGGAGGTGAAGGGGCCCCGGCGGCAGGGAAGAAAGAGGAGGGGGCTGTGTGTGCCTGAGCCCAGTCCGGGGGATGTTTGGGAAGCGCCCAGACTGGGCGGTGGTAGTCCAGGAAGTGGGGATAACCTGTTCCAAAGGCCAAGACGCTGGAAAGAGTAGCCAGTGTTTGGACTGCAGGACCCTCCCTGGGCATGACTGCAGCTTCCAGCGCTCAGTGGAGAGCGTGGGCCAGGAAATGGGCAGGGGCCTGGCCAGGAGGGCACCGTGAGCCGCCTTGAGAAGTTTGTATTCTGTGGGCGTTGTGGGGACCGTTAACAGGAAGCGGCATGATGACAGTTCGGGGACAGAAGCAGAGGGGAATGAAGTGCAGTTCTGAGCACCAGCAGAGAGCCTCCTCTCTGCGTGTGAGCGCACACCCTGGGGAGGAGGAGATCCTCGTACTTGTACAGGATACTGAATATTTGGTAGGATCTGGCCTTTCACAAGTTATGGGAAAGGGTATCCATTAAGATGCTTTTGTGTCTGGAAGTAATATAATACAGGTCAAGCTGGCTTTCTCCTGCAGAGCCTGCAAGGCCCCTGCCCACTTCTTTGCTCAAACGCTCTGTAAAATGATTTGAGAAGCTTTGTATCCCCATACCTACGCGTAAGTCGACTTCCAGAATGTTTCATCATAAATTTGAAGAGTTGCAAAGGATATTTTGAGTGTATTGTGAATTTTGGCATTTCAGAATGAAACCTTGGGGCCACGTTCCGGGATCCCTGCCCCGAGATTCCATGTGCTCACCACATTCCCCGCCCTCTCTAACCTCCATCTGGTCGCGCCCCTCGCCTCCCTTCTGTCCCCACTCCATTTGTCTCCTGTTGTTCTGCCATCCCATCTCCACTGCGCCCTGGCTGACGTCCTCAAGTCCCTCACTCCTTCATTCTTCCGCCACCATATCCAGGCTGTGAAGAGTGGAGTGTTTCCCCATGAGCCTGAGGCCTGACGTGTGTCTGCGCCTCTGGGAAAGTTAGCCCAATGGATGTCAGCTCTGGCTGGCACGTGAGGGGCTTCCAGAGAGGAATACAGCAATATTATTCCACAAAATGACATTCCTATCATGTCACTGGCAGAAGGCAAGTGGAAGGAAGGTCAGGGGAGGTCACGTTTCGTTGGGGGAGACTTTTTGGATTTGAATTTTGAACCGGATCTTGAAGCTGGGGGCAGATACGCTTGCCCCGTTGTGCCGTGGACGAGTGCGTTTCCGTGCGGTTCTGTGAATTTCTACTTGGCGAGGCGCTGACGGTAGGCAAGCTGTAGGAGAGATGTGGGTGCGAAGGGGACCGGAGAGGGGTGGGGAGTACACAGGGAGCGAAAAGTAGCAGCTGTGGCACTGGTGCGTGGACGAATGTTATATAGTGAGACGTTTATTTAAGGCTGCACTTCCCAGCTCCGACGGCACCACAAACGAAGAGCGTAGCTGATCCCCCACTGTGGATCCTTACTTATCTGTAATTTGCGAAAATTTCAATAAAAAGAAGAAATCCAGCTTTTGGGGGCCTGCCCTTATTCCGTGGGATGGTCAGAGCCCAGGTTGTAGGGGCAGTTGAAGATTGCAGGTTTTTTTAGGGGAGCACCAGAGATTCCGCGACTCAGGGATCCTGTGAGGAGATCACGCTCCTTCCAGGTGTCCGGGGGTGGGTAGTGCTGGTGACCTCGGTCCTGTGGAGGTCACCCGACATCACCACTCTCCCCTGCGCACGCGGCCCCAGGCTCTCCTGCCCATGAGTGTCTTCGTTTCCTCACTGATTCCGTCCCTCCTCTCCAAACCTGTCTCTCCTCCTGCGCCGGTGCCATGCCTTCTAATACGAACATGTCGCGGGCGCTCCCGTCAGGGAAGATCCTTGGACCTTTCATCCAGACTCTTTGGAAGCAGCAGATTTGTTCATCCGTCTGCCGCCACCTGGCTCCACTTCCGTTCCACTTCTCACAGGCCCCCTGTGACCCCTGACTGTCCCCATAGGCATTTTCCAGGGGCCCTGGGTCATTCTGGGTGCCGTGGCCCCAGTGACTCGCTCACTGACCATCCCTTCTCTTGTCAGCAGGCTTCCCTTCCTCCTCCCACCCCTCTGTCATTAGGGTCCAGACAGGAAGCTGCTCGCTCAAATTAGGATAATTGAGGGAGGTTTCCTTGCAAAGAGGCTAATTACCGATGATTCAGGTGCAGGCTTGGTGTTGAGGTGTTGAGGAGCCCGGGCCTGAGGAGACCGAGGCATGAGACCGTTGGGTCGGACAGACTCCCCGAGGGGACTAACGGCCTTCAGTGGAGGGACACCGCCAGCCCAAGGCAGCCTCACAGGAAGGAATCAAGGGAGCAAATACCCCAACCTGACTCCCCCCTCTTCCTGGTCCCCCGCTGGGGCTCCCCACGGCTGGAGCCGGAGGCCGGGGGGCCTGTGGGTGTCTGCCGCGGAGCATAGCCTGCTGGGGTGGAGAGCGGGGCGGAGAAAGGCAGGAAGATCTGGAGGGAAGGCTGCAAGATAGCGGCAGAGCTTACACGTTAGCCTTGGCTTTCTGGGTGTCTGGCCCCGTGTCCGGCAGCTCTCCCACGGTCCTCCTACCACCTGCGCTGTGTCCTGTGCAGGCTGTGTCTCTGGTCCTGGCTGGTATAAGCTTCAGACTGGGACATTTTAGCTGATTCCTTGATACTCTGGATGGATGCCTGGAAACTTGCTTGTACAAAACAGAGTTGACAGGTCCTCTCGTGTCCTGAACGAGCTGCTGCTCCCGTACCCCCGGCCTCTGGCCCTCCTGCTCATCTGATTGCATACGGGGAGATCCGTGCGCCGTCTGTGACCCCGCCCTCCTGCTCTCCCCGTGTCCAGTCCTGGCAGCTCTAGCCAAGGCTCACAGAGTTTGACCCCTGAACTCTTTCTGCAGCTGTCGCCTCTTCATTCCGACTACTGTCGTTGCCCTGGTCAGAGCTCATGCCCCTTGCCCTGGTGCGTCTCGGCCTGCAAAGTGGCTGCAGAAACGCTCATCTGGCCACGCACTGTGGCACTCTTTGGCTTAGAAACCATAAAGGCCCATCGCTGCCTATTTCCGCCCTGAGAGTCACCTGACAACAACGATCACTTCTACCAGCTGAGGATCGTATTCCTCAGATTGGCTGCAGTGCCCTGGACGGAGGCCAGGCTCCTTCTCCTAGCATTGGCCCTGCTTCTGTGACAGGGATAGCTAAATCCCCAGGGCCACCGTGCCAGTTAGGAATAAGTTTGGCTTCCTAACAACAAGACAAAAAACCACAATGGCTTAAGCAAGGCAAGGCAAAGGCGTATCTCTCTCTTAGATGAAAAAGTCCAGGGGCGCCTGGGTGGCCCAGGGCGGCCTGGGTTGAGCGTCTGCCTTCGGCTCAGGTCATGATCTCAGGGTCCTGGGATCGAGTCTGCTCAGCGGGGAGTCTGCTTCTCCCTCTGCCCGCCCCCCCCCCCCCCCCCACTGCTCGTGTCTCTTTCTCAAATAAATAAATAAAATCTTTAAAAAAAAAGTCCAGAGGCAGGCCTTCCAGGGCTGGGATGGCAGCTCCATGGAGTCACCAGGGACCCAGGTTCCTTCCAGCTCTGGTCCCATCCTAGGGTCTGCAGGGGACACTGCTGTGCTCACGGTCCAAGATGGCACCCGCCGGCCACCCGTCGCCCCAGGCCGAGCGTGGAAAAGAGTGAAGGCATTCCCTCGCCCCTCAGGAGACTTCCCCGACATCCCATACACTTCCGTCTGCATTTTTCTGTCTCACCGGCCAGAGTTTGGTCATGTGGCCAAACCCAGCCACAAAGAAAGCTGAGGAATGTACTTCTCTAGCCAGGTTCCTTGCTACAGTAAATAAATTCATTATTCTGTTGCTGATGAGGTGTGGAAGAATGGATATAGGGTAACAACTAAAACTTCTGCCACAGCCTTTTAGAAGTTTAAAAAAGTAGAGGTTTTAAGATCTAAGAAAAGTATTAAGAAAATTCTATAAAGAGGCCGTTTATAAAATCAGTCTGTAAAAATAGTTAACATAGCTACATATAAAAAGAATAACCGCTTAGAAAATAGAAAGCTCACTGAGAGGAAAGACATACAGAGATGTGACAGATATAGCAGCATCAGGATACGTTTGGACATTTTACAAAATGATAAACTTATTTGGAGAAATATGGAGACAGGAAGTATTTGGAAAGGACGGAGCAAGAACTTCCTCTCACGTTGTAAAGATCTGAGGAAACAGCTGCGGTGGGCCGAAGCTGTGGTCCCAGGGCAGGAACAGGGCAGCGGAACTGAAGGGAGTCTAGAGACCGAGCCCGACTCAGAGCATCAGACTGTGGTGCGGGCGGCGTTTGCATCCGTGGGGGAGGGAAGCGCAGGCATGGATACGGCTCGCCGGCCATCTGGAGGAAAGGAAGCTAGAACAACTTCGTCCAGATGGAAGGGAGCCAAGAGGACTGACTTCTCTTGTGGGTCTGGTGCTGGCCCAGCCGTGGGACTCTCTGGACGGTCAGCCCTGCGGATACGGCCCCGACCTGTATCCTGGTGAGCGCTGCGGGGCTGCACCAGGGAGGGTCCCTCTCTCTTGTGATCAGCGTGCTGTCTTTGCTGCTTCTCCCAGCCTTTCCGTGGTGGACCCTCTGTTCCCACTTTCCTTGCCAAGCCCAGGTCCCCCACCAGCTCACCGCCAGAATTACGGAGCTTTCGTGAGCGTCTCTCTCCTGAAATCTCTCCCTCTGAGGATTTGTGTCGCGCTTCTCAGTCAGGGGCCACTCTCTGTTTGGCGTGCCTACCCTCCCCCCAGGCCCCTTTCTTGAGCAGCGTCCTGTCCTCTCACCAGACCCCAGGGCTGCTCCGGGGTGCGGTCGGACTGCTCCAGCCGCCCTAGCTTTCGCGTCGGTCACGTGCGCTGTAGCCACTTCATGCGCCTGCCCTCTCTCATTTCAGATTGTGAGATGGGGACTGAGCACGTGGAGGTAATCCCCAAGGAAGAAGTTTCTGAAGAACCTGAGCCACATGTGGCAGCGCCAGAGAAACTTCCCAAGGTGGTTTGCCAGGGCCGGAAGTTTGGAGGCGCCCGGGCAGAAGACGCGGTGGAGAGGCACTTGAGAGCGTCCTTGGACGAGAGCGCGGAGCAGGTGTCTCCTCGGGGGAGAGGCCTTGTGTCGGGGCTGATCGCCTGTAAGAGGTCACCGTCGGGCGAGAAGTCCGGGGACAGCGACGAGAGCGAGTGTGTCTGCAGCCCCGGCCCGCACCCGCTCACGTCTCAGGCCGACCCCCCAGCCACGCCCGTCCGCGCCTGCGCCGCCTCCCGCCACAACCCCGTGGAGAGCTCAGAGTCTCACAAGGCCCGGAGGAGTCCTGTGGGAGAAAAGCCTCATACGTGCAAAGAGTGTGGGAAGGCCTTTAATCAGAACTCGCACCTCATCCAGCATCTGCGGGTCCACAGCGGAGAGAAGCCCTTCGAGTGCAAAGAGTGCGGGAAGACATTCGGGACCAACTCCAGCCTGCGGAGGCATCTGAGGATCCACGCCGGGGAGAAGCCCTTCGCCTGCAGTGAGTGCGGCAAGGCCTTCATCCAGAGCTCACACCTTATCCACCATCACAGGATCCACACTGGGGAGCGGCCGTACAAGTGTGAGGAGTGCGGCAAGGCCTTCAGCCAGAATTCGGCGCTCATTCTGCACCAGAGGATCCACACCGGGGAAAAGCCGTACGAGTGCAACGAGTGCGGGAAGACCTTCCGGGTTAGCTCGCAGCTCATCCAGCACCAGCGCATCCACACGGAGGAGCGGTACCACGAATGCAGCGAGTGCGGCAAAGCCTTCAAGCACAGCTCGGGCCTCATCCGGCACCAGAAAATCCACACCGGAGAGAAGCCCTATCTGTGTAACGAGTGCGGGAAGGGCTTCGGCCAGAGCTCGGAGCTGATCCGCCACCAGAGAATCCACACGGGGGACAAGCCGTACGAGTGCAGCGAGTGTGGGAAGACGTTCGGCCAGAACTCGGAGATCATCAGACACATTCGGATTCACACCGGCGAGAAGCCCTACGTGTGCAAGGAGTGTGGGAAGGCCTTCCGGGGGAACTCGGAGCTTCTGAGGCACGAGAGGATCCACACCGGCGAGAAGCCCTACGAGTGCTTTGAGTGTGGGAAGGCCTTCAGGCGGACCTCCCACCTCACGGTCCACCAGAGGATTCACACGGGGGAGAAGCCTCACCAGTGCAACGAGTGTGCAAGAACCTTCTGGGACAGCTCGGAGCTGCTTCTCCACCAGAAGATTCACGTTGGGGAGAAGCCGTACGAGTGCGCCGAGTGCGAGAAAGCCTTCGGCCAGCATTCCCAGCTTGTTCTCCACCAGAGGACGCACACAGGCGAGAAGCCGTACGAGTGCCAGGAGTGCCGGAAGACCTTCAGCAGGAGCTCCCACCTCCTCCGACACCAGAGCGTCCACTGTGCGGAGTGACTGCCCTGGACGTGCCCCGGCCCGACCTGCTGCGCCCAGGCCTGCGGACCCCACGAGGGGACACACGTCCTCCCGCCGACTTCCAACGCAGCGGCCCGAAACGAGGGGACGCTCTCGTGAACAGTCCACGGAGAAGTTTCAGGATCCCGAGTTAAATCATAAAAGCTGTTTGAGGCCTTTGTGTTTCCTGTGTCCCCTTCCGCGCTCGGTCCGCGCTCCCCGAGTGGGTCCCATCACTTCCGGGGTCTGTACCAGCCACGTAGCCCAGCTCGTCACTTCTCGGGACCCGTGGAGACCCGCCACCTCCCAAGGGTGACAGCGCTGACTCTTGGAAGGTTAGGAAGTCGTGGCGGAGGACACACTCCGTCTTCCTGGCCATGGTGTCGCACCGGGACCCTGATCGAGCTCCTAGCTTCGACATCTTGCAGACGGGCTACCAAGGTTCCTTAGACAATTGCTGAAGCCAGGAAGCTTGGGGACCCCCTCCCGTGAGGCCTCCTCGTCCCCCCGCAGAGGGTGCAGGACGGAGGAGACAACAGGCCGCTTCCAGGATGGCAAGCGAGGCCCTGAGCATCCCGAGGGGCTGGTGGGCCAGGTGGGGGCGGGGTGGGTGCACAGAGCAGCCCATGGGCAGCTGTGCCCCGTGGGGGGCTGTGCGGACGGACAGATGGACGTCCTGCTGGGTCGTGTGTCAGCAGGTGGCAGAGGGACTGTGCAGCCTCACCGTCAGCAGGCACCTGGGCCCTCGCTGGGCCTCGCCCCGCACCCCGGAGCCCTCTGCCGTGGCACCTGCTCTCGCTCGCCCACGGCCCGGCAGCCCCCTCGCCTCCTGCCCACGGACGCTCCGTGTTCTCCTCGGGCATCCACGCGTCCGAGTGTGTGGGGCACCAGGAGGCGGCCGGCCCCAGCACACTGGCGCTGCTCCTCGCGCTCGGCCCCTGACGGCGCTCACCCTGAGAGGAGGGGCATGAACTCCGTGAGCTCCAGGGTCCGACCCGCCCTGCGGTTGTGGACTTCTTAGATCTAACATGACACATCCTCGGTGCTCTGTTGTTTAATCTCTTCTTTGTGACGTGATTACTAACCCCTAGTGTTTCCCGAGTTTTCGCTGTGCCGGGCCCAGCGCCAGACACTCTCTGTGCTTATTTTCACAGCGTCTCTGATGTGGGTCTCCTGTAAGCGGCTGGAGTGGGTACCACGTGCGTACCATAAAATCCACCTGTTTTCCGTGTTCATTGAATGATCTTTAATTCACACCATTGCGCATCAGCCGATGGGGTGGATGTGGGTGCCCCTGCGCCGATGTCGACGACCAGGAGCCGGGGGGACGTTAGGGGGCTTGTCCGAGCTCCCGGGCCCCGTGCTATGCTGTGGACGGGCAGGCTCGCGGCCTCTGTGTGTGAAACCCTGTGCACGTTGGTGTTTTTACTACGTGGATTTGAATGTCACAGATTTAAATCATGTCCTTGGAAACAACCACTCACAGCCAAAACCCATTAAGCGGGTTTACTCTGAGCCCCAGTGTGCTCCCCCAGCTCAGACCCTTCGCTTGAGAAAAGGGCTGTATGAGTGAACGGCACGCCGCACAGCCCCCCCTTATCCTCCGTCCCTCCTCTGGTGTCTGGCGGTCGGGCCCCGAGCGGGAGAGATTCTCCGACTTCCCTCGTCCTTACGGGGATGACAGGTGCAGCGTGCTCTCTTACTCGCTGCTCAGGTTCCAGCCGAAAAATGCTCCCCGACCGTGTCTCTGTCCTGTGAAGGCTGGATGGCACCCGTCCCTCCAACTCCTGGCCCCGTGTTCACGTGTTTGAGGTCCACACTCACCCCTGGTCCCGACAGAGAACTCAGCCCCTGCTTAAGCTCATGCCCCGGAGCCCGCTCCCACATGCGCCCAGGTGCTGGGTCCAGGGGAGAAGGCCGTGCACGCTGTACGTCCTCAGACGTCCCCTGTTGGCCAAACCACGGCTGGTCTTGCTCTCTCCCCGCGCCCCCCACCTGAGGTTCAGCCACCTCAGCAATGCGCAGTCCCTCCCCACCAGCCCCGCCAGGGCCGTGGCCACTGCTCGGAAGGAGAAAAGGCCGTCCATCAGCAGCCCACCCCTTGGAACGTGGGAAGGCAAGAGTGACCCACTTTCGTTGTTGTACCTGAGCGTAAAGGGGGGGGTCTCCTCTCATCCCAAGAAGAGTCTGTGTTTCCCAGGAGGGATTCTGGTGGACGAGTCTGTCCACCTTGACGCACACGCTATGCGCACAGCCCGTAGCTTCGCTCCCTGCCCTTGTCCGCCTCGCACCCACTTACCTCAGGGAGACTGGGGCCTTCCCCTTCTGTCGGCCTCCCCTCCTCTCCGCTGACTTGGGACTCGAAATCTGCCCTGTTACTGTGAGTGATCCTCGTACGTTCATGCAGGTAGGAGTCCCACCAAGGAAGTAAAACACGGATTTTCTTAGTGTTGGAGCTTTGAAAACCGGGCTTCACAATCTCAAAGACCTCCCTAAATGCCCAGAAAGAACCTTTGAGAGTTTTTAGCTTCATTGGTATACATTCTCATCTTTCCCGTTTTAATGGTGTCCTGACACGTTTGGTAAATTGTGCATCCTTACAGTTTTACTCACTTGACGCCTTCCTGATGTTTATTATCCCCAAACACGTTGTTCCGCTGTGTCTTCGTGTGACCTCCTAGGCCAGTGTCATCCCCGTGCCTGAGGGGCACCCTCCCCCCAGGGCCACAGCCACCTGCTCTGTGCTCCTGCTTTTGCAGAAACTTCACTCTATCCTCCGCCCTCTGCTTGGCTTGGTGAGATCCTTTATCGTTCACAATGGGGGCCCGTGTTACCGATTTCGTTCATCGATCATAAGTGATCTATATACACATCCATGTTTTTCATGATTGACAAGGTAATATTCTGGATCATCTGGATGGTCCAACTTTTTTTTTAAAAATCCCCTTACTACTGAGATTTCAGGGCTAATGTTTGAGTTGTTACTACCGTCAGACTCATTATGTGTTCTTCCAGGTGACTCCTGATCTAAGGCAGGTCCCTAAGCTTGCGAGGTCAGGGATCCTTGAGACTCAGGAAGGCTCTGCCTAGAAGAATGTGCACAGGACCTCAGGGGACTCTCGGGCCACCTGAAACCCATCCTTGGACCCCTCTGTAGTCCTTTACCTTGCCCCTGAAAGCCAACTTTGACCTTTGAAAAACCTTAACCCAGAAAGCCGCCATCACCACTCCCTCATCCGGGGGCCTCAGCTTTGGGGATGAAACTGTCCAAACGACCTGCCTCGGGGTGCCCCTGACAGTGGAGGGAGCCGGAGCCTCTGGTGATGACCCCAGGGAGGAGCCCCAGTCACCCAGCACTTGCTGAGTGCCCGCGAACGTGTTGGCACCTGTGCACCGACCCTGGGGGGCCCCCAGAACAGAGGGGGTAGGCCTAAGCGCTAGGAGACTGCTGGGGACTTGAGCAATCCAGTTGCGGGCAGCACCCCCAAAAGGTGCCCGGAGCTCTGAGAGGGGAGGAGGGCTGGGGGCGGCCAGCGGGCAGGTGAAGCCTGTCCATGAACCTCGGGCCCCTCCCGCATCCTTGTCTCCAGCCTCCCCTGTGGTGTGGACAGAATGCTCATGTGTTCTTGTTTGTAACACGCTTTACAGGCAGTGTGGACCAGACTCACCCCTGGCACCCGCCACGTCTCCAGAGCCACCTTCTGCGCCTGGCCACCACCTTGCCTCGGACCATGAGGTAGGAGCCCCACCGAGTGAGGCCCCGGCCCGTGGGGGTCCCGGGGAGCAGTGGGGTCGGGGTGCCGGGCATGCAGCCAACTCATGTCCGGAGGCTCGGGTGTCCGTTTTCCGCATCCTGGGGTGGACTTCATTCAGCAGCCCCACAGATGCTCCCGACTGCCATCCAGGCCCCTTCACACAGTTTAATAACGAACTTCGATTTCGTGTCGCTTGCAGTGGGAACGGATAGACTCAGGTGGGGAAGGCAGGGCTGGCTTTAAGAAGAAGGCCCTGTGGCCCGAGGCTGTGGGCGGGAAGGCCGGTGTGGACGTGTGAGGGCCGGCATTGGGATTGACCGTTGGAGGCCTTCTGCATAGAGGGAGGTTGGTTATGCGTCAGATGGGTAGGGTCTGGGCCGGCTCCTGGGCAGACGACCCCAGAGATCACCAAGAAGGGAGCAGAGTGTGTCTATACCCTTGATCTGCTGGCTTTGTGGGGCGCTCTTTAAACTGGACTGCGGGGGGCACAGGAAGGGGGCCTATAATCCACATTCCAGTCCCAAGTCAGGGAGTGTCCGGGGAGTCCCCGGGCCGCAATGGATGTGAGGAAGACCTGGGAGGTCTTGAGTGGAGCTGGGAGGTGCTGTGCGTGGGAGACGGTCACACCGGGGGGAAACCCTAGACCCTTCGCACCGGGGAGGCCCTTTGAATACCAGTGTGGAGGAACCTCTGGTCTCGACACCTTCCGCATCATGGAGCGTCCGCCGTGCGGCGCCATCTGGGGCTGGACCGACTGCAGGACCCTCGTTCTGACCTAAAGCCTTTTCTCTCCTCCTCCCTGGGGTTGGTGGACCGCACACACCCTCTGTGGCAGCTCTGGGTCTTGCTCTGGCGGACGGGCTGCAGAAGGGAATGTAGGGCATCAGGCCAGGGCTGCCACCCCGGAGTGAAGAAATGAGTGGTCCCCACAAACATGAGGCCATAAAGGGTGAACCCCAGGAGCTGAAGGGAGAGTCGTGGTACCTTGCTGCCCTTCATCTCTCTGTGCAGACCCGCTGTCCCCCCAAAGGATGCTGGTGGCATGAGAGTTTTGTCCCCCGTGGCGTCCCTTCATGTGGCGGGGTCAGGGAAGAGGCTTTGTGCGGCTGCAGCAGCTGATCCACGACGCCATTTCCGCGAGTACGAGCGGCCGCGGGTGCCCGGACACCTGCCGCTTTCAGCACCGGGAGAAAGAACAGAGCAGATCTCACCTGTGCGGTCCTCAGGGTCTCTCTTTCATCACAG